TATATGTATATACATATATGTATATATGTATACATGTATACATATATGTATATACATATATGTACATGTGTATACATGAATATATACATGTATGTATGTATATATACATATATGTAGAGAGCGAGAGAGAAGTTTTTTCTTTCTTACAACTTTGGGATGTAGCTTCTTCTAACTAACAGACCAAAATACCCCCAGAATCTAGTGTATGGCTCTGTTCTCTTCACTTGTCTGATGATATAATTTCTCTCTTTTTTGTTGTTAAAGTCTTTTTAAATTTTCATCTTTACAGTTACATTCTATCCTTTCAATATATTTAATTTTATTTTTGTACCTATATAAGTTATTCTTTCTTTGAAATCTAGGGATCAAGTTTTCTAACAAACAGACCAGCAGACATACACACAGGACCCAGTGTATTTCTCTGTCCTGTTCACTTTTCTGATGAACATTTCTCTCTCTTTATTTTTTATTTTATTTTTATTTATTTATTTATTTATATTTTTGGTTCAGGTCTCTTCTGATTTGCTTAGTGTATATTTCTCTGGGGTCATTGTTGTCACTTTAGTATTCTGTTCTCTTATTCATCTATTCTTCTCTGGACAGAATGATAAGATGAAAAAACTCACCTCAAAACAGAGAATAAAGGGCAGTACTGACTGCGGGGGACATAATCAGTATGGATATAAGTAAAATGTCAGAGCTAGAGTTCAGAATAATGATTATAAAGACAGTAGCTGGGCTTGAGAAAAGCATAGGAGACACTAGAGAATCCCTTTGTGGGGACATAAAATAATTAGAATCTAATCAAGTTGAAATTTAAAAAAGCTATCAATGAGATGCAATAAAAAATGGAGGCTCTAACTGCTAGGATAAATGAGACAGAAGAGAGAATTAGTGACATTGAAGACAAAATGGTGGAGAATAAAGAAACTGAGAAAAACAAACAACTACTGAATCACAAGGGGAGAACTCAAGAGATAAGTGATACCATAAAACAAAACAATATTAGAATAATTAGGATCCCAGAAGTAGAAGAAAGAGAGAGAGAACAGCAGAAGGTATATTGGAGCAAATTATAGCAGAAAACCTTCCTAATATGGGGAGGGAAACAGGCATTCAAGTCCAGGAGTTACAGAGAATGCCCCTCAAAAATCAATAAAATAGGTCACCCCAACACACTACATTGAAACTTGCAAATCTGAGAGACAAAAGAAAACCCTGAAAGCAGCTTGGCACAAGAGGTCTGTAACCAACAAGGTAGAAACATTAGACTGGCAGCAGAACTATCCACAAGACCTGGCAGGCCAGAGAGCACTGGCATGATATATTCAGGGTGCTAAATTAGAAAAATAGGCAGCCAAGAATACTTTATCCAGCAAGGATGTCATTCAAAATAGGAGAGAACAAAAGCTTCCAAGACAAACAGAAACTAAAAGAATCTGTCATCACTAAACCAGGCCAGCAAGAAATATTAAAAGGGATCCGTTAAGCAAAGAGAGTGCCCAAAAGTAACACAGACCAAAAAGGAATAGAAACAATATACAGAAACAGGGACTTTACAGGTAATACAATGTCACTAAATTACTATCTTTCAATAGTTATTCTGAATATAAATGGGCTAAATGACCCAATCAAAAGACACAAGGTGTCTGAATGGATAGAAAAGCAAGACCCACTGATATGTTGTCTGTGAGAGACTCATTTGAGACCCAAATACACCTCCAGATTTAATGTGAGGGGGTGGAAAACAATTTATCATCCTAATGGACATCAAAAGAAAGCTGGGGTGGCAATCCTTATATCAGTCAAATTAGCGTTTAACCCAAAGACTGAAATAAGAGATGAGGAAGGACACTATATCATAATTTAAAGAGCCTATCCAACAAGATCTAACAACTGTAAATATTTATGCCCTTAACATGGGAGCAGACAATTATATTAGCCTATTGATAACAAAATCAAAGAAACACATTGATAATAATAAATAATTATAGGGAACTTCAACACCCCTCACTGCAATGGACAGATCATGAAAGCAGAAAATCAACAAGGGAACAAGGGCTTTGAATAATATACTGGACCAGAATGACTTCACAGATATATTCAGAGCATTCCACCCTAAAGCAAAAGATACACATTCTCCTTGAGTACACATAGAACATTCTCCAGAATAGATCATATACTGGGCCACAAGTCAGGTCTGAACAGGTACCGAAAGATTGGGATCATTCTCTGCATATTTTCAGACCACAATGCTTTGAAACTGAAACTCAAACACAACAGGAGATTTGGAAAAAACTAAAATATATAGAGGCTAAAGAGCATCCTAGTAAAGAATGAATGTGTCAACCAGGAAATTAAAGAAGAATTTTGGGGTGCCTGGGTGGCTCAGTGGGTTAAAGACTCTGCCTTTGGCTCAGGTCATGATCCCAGCATCCTGGGATCGAGCCCCGCATCAGGCTCTCTGCTCGGCGGGGAGCCTGCTTCCTCCTTTCTCTTTGCCTGCTTCTCTGCCTACTTGTGATCTCTTTCAAATAAATAAATAAATAATCTTAAAGAAGAATTTAAAAAATTCATGGAAACAAAGGAAAATGAAAACACAAGTGTTCAAAACCTCTGGGATGTAGTAAAGGTGGTCCTAAGCTGGAATTATGTAGCAATACAAGCCTTTCTCAAGAAACAAGAAAGGTCTCAAATACACAACCTAACTTTACACCTAAAGAAGCTGGAGAAAGAACAGCAAATAAAGCCTAAACCCAGCAGGAGAAGAGAAATAATTAAGGTTAGAACAGAAATCGATAAATTGAATCCGAAAGAATAGTAGAACAGACCAATGAAACTAGGAGCTGGTTCTTGGAAAGAATAAGTTTGGTAACCCCTGGCTAGACTTATCAAAAAGAAAACAGAAAGGACCCAAATAAATAAAATCATGAATGAAAGAGGAGAGATCACAACCAACTCTGAAGAAATACAATTTTAAGAACATATTATGAGCAACTCTATGCCAGCAAATTAGGCAATCTGGAAAAAACGGATGCATTCCTAGAGACACATAAACTACCAAAACTGAAACAGGAAGAAATAGAAAACCTGAACAGACCCATAACCAGCAAGGAAACGGAAGTAATAATAAAAAATCTCCCAACATGGGCGCCTGGGTGGCTCAGTGGGTTACAGCCTCTGCCTTCGGCTTGGGTTGTGATCCCAGGGTCCTGGGATCGAGCCCCACATCAGGCTCTCTGCTCAGTGGGGAGCCTGCTTCCTCCTCTCTCTGCCTGCCTCTCTGCCTACTTGTGATCTCTTTCTGTCAAATAAATAAATAAAATCTTTAAAAAACTCCCAATAAACAAAAGTCCAAGACTGGATGGTTTCCCAGGGGAATTCTACCCAACACTTAAAGAAGAATAAATACCTGTTCTTCTGAAGCTGTTTCAAAAAATAGAAATGGAAAGAAAACTTCCAAACTCTTCTTTGAGGCCAGCATTACTATGATTCCAAAACCAGACAAAGACTCCATCACAGAGTAAAATTATAGACCTATATCCCTGGTGAACATGGATGACAAAATTCTCACCAAGATAGTAGCCAATAAGATCCAACAGTGAAGGATGATTCACCACAACCAAGATGGATTTATTCCTGGTTTGCAAGGGTGGTTCAACATCCACAAATCAATCAATGTGATACACTACATAAATAAAAGAATAGACAAGAACCATATGATCTTCTCAATAGATACAGAAAAACATTTGACAAAGTACAGCATCCTTCCTTGATTAAAACTCTTCACAGTGTAGGGATAGAGAGAACATATCTCAGTATAATAAAATCATACACAAAAAGCCCCAGCAAATATCATTGTCAATGGGGGAAAACCTGAGATCTTTCCCCTTAAGGTCAGGATGTCCACTATCATGGCTGCTATTCAACAGAGTACTAGAAGGCCTAGCCTCAGCCTTCAGACGACAAAAAGAAATAAAAAGCATCTGAATCAACAGGGAAGAAGTCAAACTCTCACTCTTCCCAAATGACATGATACTATGTGGAAAACCCAAAGGACTCCCCCACCCAAATTTCTAGAACTCATACAGGAATTTAACAGTGTGGCAGGATATAAAATCAATGCACAGAAATCAGTTGCATTTCTATACACTAATAATGAGACAGAAGAAAGAGAAGTTAAGAAGACTATCTCATTTACAATTGCACCAAAAACCATAAGATACCTAGGAACACACCTAACCAAAGAAGTGAAGGATCAGTACTCAGAGAACTATAGAACAATCATGAAAGAAATTGAGGAAGACACAAAGAAATGGAAAAAAGTTCCATGTTTGTGGCTTGGAAGAACAAATATTGTCAAAATGTCTGTGTTGCCTAGAGGAATCTATACATTCAATGCCATCCCTATCAAAATACCATCAATTTTTTTCACAGAGCTGGAACATATAATCCTAAAATTTGTATTGAACCAGAAAAGACCCCGGATAGCCAAAGGAATGTTGAAAAAGAAAATCAAAACTGGCAGCATTACAGTTCCAGACTTTAGGCTCTATTACAAAGCTGTCATCATCAAGACAGCCTGGTATTGGCACAAAAAACAGACACACAAATCCATGGAACAGAATAGAGAACCCAGAAATGGATCCTCAGCTCCATGGTCAACTATCTTTGACAGGGCAGGAAAGAATAACCAATGGAAAAAAGACAGTCTCTTCAACAAATGGTGTTGGGAAAATAGACTTACACCACACACAAAAATAGACTCAAAATGGATGAAAGACCTCAATGTGAGACAGGGACCCATCAAAATTCTTGAGGAGAACACAGGCAGCAACCTCTTCAACCTCGGCCCCAGTGACCTCTTGCTATACACGTCTCCAAAGGCAAAAAAATGAACTATTGGGACATCATCAAGATAAAAAGCTTTTGCACAGCAAAGGAAACAGTTGACAAAACCAAAAGATTTCTGATAGAATGGGAGAAGACATTTGCAAATGTCTTATGAGATAAAAGGCTAATACCCAAAATCTATAAAGAACTTACCAAACTCAACACCCAAAGAACAAATCAACCAGTCAAGAAATAGGCAGAAGACATGAACAGATATTTCTCCAAGAAGACATCTAAATGGCCAACAGACACATGAAAAAATGCTCCACATCACGTGGCATCAGGGAAATACAATCAAAACCGCAATGAGATCACCTTACACCAGTCAGAATGGCTAAAATTAGCAAGTCAGGAAATGACAGATGTTGATGAGGATGTGGAGGAAGGGTAACACTTTTACAACATTGGTGGGAATCCAAGCTGGGAAATAGCATGGTGGATCCTCAAAAGTTGAAATAGAGCTACCCTACGACCCAGCAATTGCACTACTAGGTATCTACCCCAAAGATACAAAGGTAGTGATCCGAAGGGACACCTGCAATCCAGTGTTTGTAGTAGCAACGTCCACAATAGCCAAACTGTGGAAGAAGCCCAGATCAATCAACAGACAAATAGATAAAGAAGATGTGGTGCATAACCCAGCCATTAAAAAAATAAAAAAAGAAATCTTGTCATTTGCAACAGTGGGGATGGAACTAGAGGGTATTATGCTATGTGAATTTAGTCAATCAGAGAATGACAACTATCATATGATCTCACGATAGGTGGATTTAAGAAACAAAACAGAGGGGGCGCCTGAGTGGCTCAGTGGGTTCTGCTTTTGGCTCAGGTCATGATCTCAGGGTCCTGGGATCGAGCCATCGGGGCTCTCTGCTCAGTGGGGAGCCTGCTTCCCCCCCTCTCTCTGCTTGCCTCTCTGACGACTTGTGATCCCTCTCTCTCTGTCAAATAAATAAATAAAATCTTTAAAGAAAAACAGAGGATCATAGGGGAAGAGTGGGGAAAAAAACCAAAACAAGATGAAATGCCAGTATGTCTCATGAACATAGACACAAAAATCCTCCACAAAATATTATCCAATATAATCCAGCAAGGAATTATACATCATGATGGAGTGAGGTTAATTCCAGGTGTGCGAGGCTGGTTCAACATGGAAAAATCAATCCTTGCAATCCCCAATACCAAACTAAAGAAGAAAAATCATAGGATCATATCAAATGACACTGAAAAATCATAGGACAAATTCCAACACCCACTCATGATAAAAAAGAAACTCATAAAAAGCAGAATAGAAGGAATTTCAACTTCATGAAGATCATCTAAAAATGAAATACAGCTAACATACGTAACTATGAAAAACTAAATGCTTTCCCTCTAAGGTCCTGAGCAGGGTAGAGATGCCCACTCTCACTACTGTTATTCGCCTTAGCACTGGAAATTATGGCCCTTACACTAGGCCAGAAAAAGAAATACAGGCATGGACAAAGGAAAAGAAGAATAAAGCTGACCCTGTTTGCAGATGGCATAATTCTCTATGTAGAAAATCTCAAGCAATCTACAAAACCTCATAGAACTAAGAGGTGAGTTCATCATGGGATATAAGATGAACACACAAAAATCATCTTCCAGTCCAGTGCAGCCTTCCAATGAGTAGAGCCTGGTAAATATCTTGACCACAACTTTGTGACTCTCAGCAAGTGTGAGTTAATATTGTTTTCAGCCACAAAGTTCTGGGGGAATTTGTTATATCACCATAGATATTACATCTTGTTGGACCACAGTTGCCTAGGGCCATGTCTGCAGCCAATACAGTGTTTAGTCATTCACTCAGTTTGAGTTAGGACAGACCCACCTCCCCACCACCTGTCAAGGACCATCCCTCATCTTTGCACCTTGAAGAGGCTCCTGGTCACCATGTGAACCCAAAAGGGACACCAGCAGCCAGTGCTTTGGCAGACCACCCTCTTGTTACACAATGGCTCCTCTTGCCACTGGATGGAGAGGAGAAGCCCAGTCTCAGCTTCACATGTCCCCAATGTCCCATCAGCTCCTTGAATCTCTGGACCCTCTTGTCCATTGTCATTGTCAGTCCCCTCCCTGCGAGTCACAGTAGAATGGACATTCCAAAGAAGAAAGAGTCAAAGTGAAGTGCACATGGGGTTGGTGATGGCTGTTTCATGTCCATGTCTTGAGAACAGGGAAACACACTGGAGGGAAGCAACCCTGGGGGATTAATATTATAACCCAGAGCCAGATGGAACTTGTGAAATATCTGAGGTCACAGTTCCAACTTGTGTGGCCAGAGGAGAGCAGGGGTCCCATGGAGGCTGGGGGTGCTTGGAGCTATAGGCCGGGGGGGGCCCTAACACCACTGTAGTCACCACCAATGCCTGAGAGGATGGGCTGCTGGGGGCTCCACCCCGGACATGGTCCATTCTGACCATGAGGAAGTGACATGTCACAGGGGTGAGGAAGTCCCACTGAGGAAGAAATGCTCTAGTGTTGCTCCATTGTGTGGGGTGAGTGTGGTCAGTGAGAGGAGCAGATGTTGGCTGTGGAAGGGGACGGCAATCCCAATCTAGACCTGGACCGGTAGCCGTCCTGTCATCTGGATTGAATGGATTCAGGCACCAGGTCCAGGACTCTGCCTCAGCCCTTGCTGCTGCTGTCCCTGAGCTTCCTGCACCCCAGCCTCCTTGAGTCAACGTGGAGGAAGATTGTGAGACCAAGCACAGGCAGGACGAGGAAGCAAAGAGGTCTCAGAAAGCAGAAGTGGGCCCTGGAGACTGGACCCTCCGTGAGGAGGCTTGAAATCATCCCCCCTCAGGAGCCTGGCATTGCTGTGGATGACGTCCGTGCTGCAGACATGACCCCAGGGGACGGGAGGCCGTGGCTGCCTGCAGCGCTGCTCCTTCTGCAGGTCCCAGGTGAGCAGGGCTAAGCTGGGTAGGGAAGTCTGCCCTGAGTGGGGGGGAGGGAGGCAGGGGGAGTACAGGGCGACCAAAGGAGAGGGAGGAAGGACATGAGAAGGAGGACGGAGAGCAGAGGATTCTCGGATCGGCCAGCACTGCCTCAGCAGTGACCAGGAGGATTCAGTGCATAAAGCAGATGAGTCATGTCCATTATAGTGGACAGAGCAGTTCTGAGTGGAGGGGCTCCTGCGACTTCCATTACTGTAGTGTCACAGTCAGAAACAAGGTCTTAGTGCATCACACACACACACACACACACACACACACACACACACACACCAGGAACACACTCTCCTTGTGCCACTCTGGGAGGAGGGAGCTACATCCCTTCCCTCTGGTTTCAGGAAAAGCCAGTCCTGCCAAGGTCTCCTCCAGACCCCAAGGGCCCTTCATGGACACCAGGATCACCATGACCCCAGATCCCCTTGACCCAGGCCCATCTGGTGAGGGGTCACACTTGGCTGTGTTTTCCAGGTTGTTGGTCTCTGTGTGGCCCCACCTCCGTGACGGGCACCGTGGGGGGATCCCTGAGCGTGCAGTGTCAGTACGAGGAGAAATTCAAAGAGAATGTCAAGTACTGGTGCAAGACCCCATGTATGGGGGATATTGTGAAGACTGAAGAGGCAGACAAAGAAGTGAGGAGTGGCCGTGTGTCCATCAGGGACCAACCTGCAAACCTCACCTTCACAGTGACCTTGGAGAACCTCACAGAAGGTGATGGAGGAACATACCGGTGTGGGATTGATACATCATGGCTCCCAGAATATTTGCTCGACCTCACCTTCCGAGTTGTGGTGTCTGTGACCCCAGGTGAGCTGTGCACACCCCTCCCCTGACACCAGCACTAGGGCTGCCTGAGACTGGGGCTGATCACCTCGACCCTGTCAGGAAAGTGGTGGGACATGGGATAGAAGAGTGGGGTGAGGATGGGTTGAGTGATGCAGGGCACGGCAGATGTGTGTTTATGTGTCCGTGTCCATGTGTTTGTGTGTGTGTGTGTGTGTATGTGTTGTATCTGTGTATATGTCTGCATGGGTGTCTGTGTATACGTCCATGTGTGTGTAAGTGTGTGGGCAGGCATTGTGTTGTCTGTACGCTCACACAAGCACATGCACACCTCTAGCTGACCTAGGCGCCTCTGTGTGCCCCGCCCTGACACACTCTCATGACTAAAGCTCTCCCAGCGTGGGCAGTGCGAATGGCCCCGAGTCTGGAGATGGATGGCTGCCTTCCTGTCCTGACAAGGGTCCTGACCATGCTGAAGGTGTCCTGAGCCTCTTCCTGGACCTCTCTCTGTCCTCCCCTTAGGGCACTGGCTCCTCTCCCTTACTGGCTGCCCAGGACCCCGGGGGTCTAACAGGACATCACTGTGTCCTGGATGGTTCCTGAGCACCAGCCTCACAGCTGTGATCCTAGGGGTCTGCAGCAGCCTCGACAGGGGCCTAGTAATGAAAATCAGTAACACTAATTGCCCATTGACAACCTACCCAGGAACACAGCCCATCTGACATGGGCACAGGGACAGAAGGAAAGTGGAAGGTACCAGGGCATCTCCCCGAGGACGTGGCTCACTGCCTGTCACTGTCCCCCACAGGTCCCTTCTCAGCAGCATCTACTTCCGGCTCCTGGTCTTCCTGGAGGTGCCCCTGGTCTTGAGCATGCTCAGTGCTGTCCTCTGAAGGAACAGACCTCAGAGGGGATCTGGGGTGGGGAGGCGGCATCAGCCCAATAACTAAAATCAGTAACACCAATTGCCCATTGATGACCCGCCCAGGAACACAGCCCATCTGATGGATGGGAATGGCCTTCTGACCAACACATCCAGCCATCGTCTTTATTTCATTCAGAATACTCTGTAAACTCTTTTGTAAGTTTTCCTGCAAAGTATCATAGACACAAAGAATGTTCCCAATAAATGCATACTCCTTACAGCCCAAATACTTTTCAACCCTTGGGTGCCCACCTCACAGCTTAAGTAATAAACATCATTAATATTGTTTCAAGCTGCCCTCTGAGGAAACCAACTATGAATTTTACATTTATGTTCTCCTTATTTTCTTCATGGGTTTGCCATATATTTGCAAATTATTTACTCTAGATCAGTTCATAAAAGGCACAAAGGTTAAAAAAAATACTTTCATTTTCAAGGTCCTCCCTCTTCTTATAATACTTCTTTCCCAAGTTATCACCTTTTTTTTTTTTTTAATAATACAATGGTCACTTAATGCGTAAGCCTCCTTGTGAATGGCGGTTATGTATTCCAGGTGCTGATAGCGTCCCTGTGCCTCTGACAGGCCTGGGCTGGCCTCAGGGGCCCTGCACTAGGAGCTGCTCGAAGGTGAAAGTGTTGGGCACTTGTGGGCAGTCCTACTCTGAGAGTTTCCATCAACAATGGTGGGTTCTGAGAGTTCCCATAAGCATAGTTTCTCTCTTTCTTGTGTTTAAACACTGGAAGGACAATATTTTATTATAAATGGGAGAAAAAATTAAGACAACCCACCAGTTTGCTCTGATCCTATGCAAACACAAGTGTAGGAATTAGAATACAAAGTAATCCGATGTCAGAGCCAACCTTCAGAACCCAAGCAGGAAAGAATCTTTATTACCTTAATCCCATTTTCCCCACCTCTAGCTATATTAATCAAGGTGCACCAAAACCCTTAAAAATATCACTCCCAAAACAGGACGCTAAAACTCAGAACGTAAAGAAACTCGGCATGATAAAGCTGACTGGAGAGACAAACACATCATAGAATTTTAAACTTTGACTGACTTTTAAATAATAATGCTTTAGGGAGCCCCCTGGGTGGCTCAGTCAGTTGAATGTCTGCCTTCAGCTCAGGTCAGGATCCTGGGGTCCTGGCATAGACCCCCACATCAGGCTCCCTGCTCAGTGGGGATTCTGCTTCTCCCTCTCATTCTCCCTCTGCCCCTCCCTCTGCTCATGCTCTCTTCTCTCTCTGTCTCTCAAATTAACAACAACAACAACAACAACAATAATAACAATACTTTAGGGAGGTGATTAAATTAAAAAATAAGTTTAAAAAATAAAGCACCTTTAAAACACCATGTTTTGGTGACTGGGATAGGCGATATAAATTTATTATAAATTTGAGTATCTAAGAAGGAATTTGTTACATTTACAAAGATAAATCTGAGTTGGCCTACAGCCAACACACAGCAGGTGTGTCCTGCAGAGTGACACTGGGCTTCTTGGGCATGAAAAGACAGCCCCACTGCCCTTTAGGAATAGGATCAGCAAGATAAGAAAAAAATTAAACTCTCAACTAGGTCATACTGAATAAGATCCTTTTGGGTTCTTTCTGTTGTTTTTTTTAATTTAATTTTATTCTTTCACTGTTCCAAGATTCATTGTTTATGCACCACACCCAGTGCTCCTTGCAATACGTGCCCTCCTTAATACCCATCACCAGGCACACCCATCTCCCCACCTCCCTCCCCTCCAAAACCCTCAGTTTGTTTCTCCGAGGCCACAGGCTCTCATGGTTCGTCTCCCCCTCCAATTTCCACCAATTCACTTTCCTTCTCCTAATGTCCTCCATGTTATTCCTTATGCTCCACGAGTAAGTGAAACTATATGATAATTGACTGTCTCTGCTTGACTTATTTCATTCAGCATAATCTCCTCCAGTCCCGTCCATGTTGAATAGGAGGATCCTTTTGGTTTATCGCTCTGGCATCGGGACTGTGAAGAGTTCAGGGAAGAAGTCTCATTCTTGAAAGCAGCCTCCAGCAACGCAAGCTTCTCTTTTCCTACTTTTTATCTCGATATTGAGAAGACTTTCTGTAATTAAGGAGAGTTATGATTCAATTGGTCTGTAAGCCTGAGTCTGAAAATGCACAGGAGCTGGTTGCCCAGTAGGAAGACTGATGGCAGACAAAGGGAAAACACACGAGCCCGGGTTCTAGACTGTGACCTTCCAGGAACAGAGATGCTGTGGACAAGTCACTACAGCCCAGCAGAGGGGGCCAGAAGAAACCTCAAGCTAAGCCAGACTCCTGCTTCTCAAGGAGATAAACCTCTCTGTCTAGCCAATTATTTGCCCTTACACTCATAGGCACAGAACCTGAGGTCTGTTTAACTTTATAATTATTTTTTAAGACTATAAAGGCAGCATCTTTACAAGTTGTAGGAAACATCAGGGGCTTGATGGTTACAGAGCAAATATGGTCCCTTGGGATCTTAGAAAGAACTTGGGGCAGGAGAGGAGCAAGCAGCCCCTGAGAGGCAGCTGAGACACAGGGCAGAGAGCACCATGACCCGTGACCCTTAGGGACTGAGCTGGTGGGGAAGAGATGCCAGGAAAGAACAGCTGCAAAATACAGCATGCTCACCAGGACAGAGGACATGCCAAAGACAGGAACCCACAGTCCACCCTCCTGCCTGGGAATTTCTACCCCAGGTTTTCTTGGACAAACCCTCTTCTTCTAAAGCAGTGGCTCTCAGCAGGGATGACTTACTCCCAGGGGACATTAGGCAATGCCAGTTGACAATTTTGGCTCTTGCCACTGGGGGAAGGGGGCTACTGGTATTTAGTGTGGAGGGGCCAAGGGTTTTGTTGAATGTCTTACAGTGCACTTGGGAGTCGGGAGTTTCTTTCCTAGTCCCTGGTGGGCAGGAAGCCTGCTGTGGGGGTAGAGGAGTGGAGTGTGGGTGAGGGGGACACCGTGCTGGTTCAGGGTCATGTCTGGGTGTAACAGAGCATCCCTGATAACGTTTTCTCATCCAGCCCCGAGGAAGCAGCCCCACATCTTCAAGGCTGGGACTTAAGCAACTGAAAGAGGAGGCAAAGTGGGAAGCTTGCTCTGAAGGGTCCACTCACCCCCACCAGGCACCCCTATAGCCTGAGCCCCCGTTAGCAGCAATTGCACAGAGAAGTTTGAGTGTTGATGCCCCCACCCCACCCCCAGCCACAAACCTGTGTCTGGAGGACCTCAGGCTAACAGCCCAGGCCTCCTTGGTTCCTAACCCTTCCCTCCTCCAACCTCAGGGTGACGTCTGGGCTTCCAGGGGACCCAACCCCACAGTGCACCTCCAGCCCAGGTCTCCAGGTGAAGAAAATACTGATGGTGTCTTTCAGGCTCTTTGTCTCTGAGTGGCCCCAGCACTGTGATGGGCACCGTGGGGGGATCCCTCAGCCTACAGTGTCGGTACGAGGAGAAGTACAAGGCATTTACCAAATACTGGTGCCGACAACCATGCTTGCCACCTTGGAGCCAGACTGTGGCCACCGGAAGGTCTGAGGAAAAGATGAGGAGTGGTCGTGTGTCCATCGTGGACCATGCTGAAGACCTCACCTTCACAGTGACCTTGGAGAACCTCACTGCAGATGATGCAGGAAAATACAGGTGTGGGATCGCAACAATACTGCAAGAAGAAGGGCTCCATGGTTTCCTGCCTGACCTCTTTTTCCAGGTTCAAGTGTTTGTTTCCCCCAGGTAAGACCCTGCTTTTCTCTGCTGCCACAGAGGAAGGGATCTGAGCTAATCCCTGCAGAGCATCTGAGGAACTCTAAACTCAGGAGTACAGAACCAGGCCTGGTGTTTGTGCCTCAGAGACTGGGGACCAAGTGGGTTGTGTGGGTGTGAGTGTGAGAGAAATGTGAGTGGTGGGAGTGTGCACAAGTGTGAAAGAACATGTGTGTGCATGTGTGCATGAGAGAGTATGTGTGCAAGCCCCTGAGAATGAAGGACGGTGGGACTGTGACATCCAAGGTCCCTGCCATGAGCCCAGTCTCCTGACAAGAGCCTTGGGCCTCGGGGACTCTGAGGGTGGTGTCCACAAGGGGAGTTCTGGGCTATGCATCTCTATTAGAATCCAGGCAGCTTGTATACCCTCCTGTCCTCCAGGGTTGTGTGACCTCTGCAGTCTTCTGGCAGGGTGGACAAGGCAGGGGGATGCACTGTCTGGGGGTGGGACCTGAGGTCTTGCTCTGATGCCCACTTTCAAACACTCTTGTTTCCAGTGAGAGGAGGAATGCTGTAATGCTTAATGGGGAAGGTGATGATTCTCTGGTCCTGGTTTATGATACATCCATTGCTGAGCAGGTTGGGATGATGTTGAATGGGGCTACGCCACACTCTGGCCAGGCCTGGGTCTGGCTAGTGGGAGATGATGGCCCCAGAAGCTCTGTGCACTCCTTCCCTGAGTTCCATCTGCTTTGTGAACTCTCAGACAGTTTCTGGGAGCCAGAGCCTCCTGGGTCTCCTCTTCTCCCATTCTCTCAATTTCTCACCACCACATCCTCATGTACCTGCTTTGTCCTGATGCTCAAGGTCAGGTCTTGAGCTGAAGGACAGGAGTCTGGGGCCCTCAGCAAGGGCTGTCTGGTGCTGGTACCCACCAGATTTGATGCTGATATTGACTTTTGGGGCCACAGAATCTGAGCTTAAAGGCTGGGGTGAAAGGCAGAGCCTGGGGCTCCTGTTCAGGAGGAAACTCCTGCCAGTCACTGTGTCTTCCTGTAGGTCTCTGCTTAGCAACGTCCACTTCCTGCTTCTCATACTCCTGAAGGTGCCCCTGTTTCTGACGATGCTCAGTGCTGTGCTCTGGGTCAACAGACCTCAATGGGCAATTTGTGGGACACAGAGTCGAGCTGGTGAAGACAACATGCAGCACTACTTGTCTATCAACATCCTGTCCAGAGACACTGCCACTCAGACTAGAAGAGGAAGAACTTCTGGCCCCAAACCTTCTATCTCTTCTCACCTTGCTCCCCAAAACTGGTAAATTTAAGTAAATCTTGAGAAAATGCAATAAAATATGACACACACACACACATACACACAATTGTGTGTATAACGTAGATGTGCATAGTGCTTGGCTGGGAGAAGGGGGAAAGCATTCCATAGCACCCCTAAATGCCAGCAGAGAGTGTCAAGCACAGGCTGGTTGGCCAGAGGAGCCCAAGGTGAGGGCCTGCTTTTCAATGATGCTGCCCCCCTGAGAACCCCCAGGGCAGCCTCCCACCTCAACATTCCTTCCTTCCTCCATCCACTCACCAAATATTCACCAAGACTATGTAGCTCCAGCCTATATAGACATTGACCTATGAGAAATCACCAAAAACAGTCCCAGCCTGAGCTGGGTTCTTGGGAGTGTGGATGGCAGAAGGAGGGGCAGGGCTTAGGACAAAGCAGCTGTTTGTGGAGCCAGGTCCTGCCCAGGCAAACCCTCTCTCTCTTCTCAGTATTGGACCATCTAATGTCCAAAGTCAACAGCTGAGCTGAGGGGTTGGGGGTGAGCATATATCCAGATATCCAAGTCTGGCCCAAATGTGGTTATTAGGTGTCTAGGGTCTTGGATCAGAGACATCTGGGGGCAGAAAAGAGGGACCCAGGCCTTCCTCTTGAGGCAGCAGCTCAGTGTCTGTCCCTGTGTCCCTCCCAGGTCCCTGCTTAGCAGGGTCCTCTTCCTGCTCCTGGTCATCCTGAAGGTGTCCCTGCTCCTGACCATGCTCACTGATGGACTCGGTGTGTCCTCTCTCCTTGTGGGGACCCTGACCAAGGGAAGCTTCAGCCCTTCGTGCCTTTGGATATGCTGCCCAGACACACAGCCCTTCAGAGAAGAGAAGATTCACCACATCTGATTTACCCATTTTTCTGTTGATGGCTTAGGGTTGCTGCCCGCTGGGGCTATTCCACAGCCAGTGCTGCCATGAACTTTCTTGTACAGGTCACCTAGTCTATATGTGACATGATCTCACTAGGGTACATACTTAGGGGTGGAATTGCTGGGGATTAGAGTTTGGGCACACTCAACCACGATTGATAATGCCGAGTGATTTTCCAAACCCGGAATTCATGGCCCCACTTAGCTCCCATCAGCTAAGACTGAGGGCTCCTATTGCCCTGCCTCTCTGTGTGACTTCCTGGAATGTCAGACGTTTTAATTGTTAACTTTTGACAGTTTGAAATAGTTTTTTGTTTCACCATCCACAGGGTGGCCAGGCTGTGCAGCCCACGGTCAAAAGTAGCTAAGTGTGAGCAGGAAAGAGGCCAGTGCAGGTTTTGAGGTCAGTGAGAACAGACAACATGCACACAGGCTCAGGGTGTGCAGAGTTTCCTTACAGCAGGAGGAGAGAGAGAGGGATCAGGTGGTACATCCTTCCCGCATGGTGCGTGCGTCCCCTCAGCGGCCAGTGTGGATGGTGTGGCTGAAAGCATTCCACTTGTCGTCCTGAGCACCTTTTCACTTATGTTGCGTTCCCTCTTCTGTTCAGATTTGGCCCATCTTTCTTGGGTTTCTCCTTTTCCTTCCTGAATTACAGGACTCACACTCTCACTGGTCAAGTTTTATCATTGATGCCTTTCAAATATGGGCTCACAGATTTTGGGGTTTGTCCTTTCATTCTGGAGTCTTTTCACAAATACACCACAACTTTAGAGTATTTGAATTCATCAGAGTATTATGGTTTGTATATTTTGTACCATATTCAAGAAGCCTTTCTTATCCCAAAGTTATAAAAATACCTTCCTATGTTTTTTCTAAATACTTTAAAATTTTGCAGTTCACATTTAAGTCCTGGATCCGTCTGGGATTGAATTTTTTTTCCCTTACATGTTGTGAGGTTGGAGCCACATACTCTCCAACGTATTTATTGTTCTCCTTCTTTCCTCATTTACATGAGTTATATCAAGTGTCCATGTAAAAACAGGGTTGTTTATGGGGGCTCTATCCTGTTTAATCAAGCTCCTTACCTATCTGTGTTTGTTACCATATTGTCCTAGCCATGATAGCCATATAAAGTCCCTCCACATTATACCTTTTTTCAGAAAACACTAGAAGAAAAATAAAAAGAAAAATAAAAAGAGAGACTAATAGGGCTGAGAGACTCATAATATAATACCCAAAATGTCCAGGATCTAATAGAAAATCACTTACTTTACCAAGAACCAGCCATCTATAGATTCAATGCAATCCCTATCAAGATTCCAATGGCATTTTTTATAGTGGTAAAACAAAACAAAACAAAAAAACTCTTAAAATTTTTGCAGAGATGTAAGAGACCCCAAATAGCCAAAACGATTGTGAGAAAGAAGAACAAAGCAGGAGGCATCACACTTCCTGATTTTAAGCTATATTATATAGCAATAGTCATATATCGAGTCATATACATATATATATGACTCGATATATGATTATCTATGAAGCCATATTATAAAGTATAGTCATCCAGACAGTATGATACTGACATAAAAACAGACAAATAGACCAATGGAATAGAACAAAAATAAACCCAAACCTATATGGTCAACTAATATTTAACAAGGGAACCAAGAATATGCAATGGAGAAAAGGTGGTCTCTTTGGCAAATTGTGCAGAGATAACTGGATATTCCCATGTGAAAGAATGAAACAGGACTCCTTTTTTTTACACCACTCAAAGAATTAAAGACTTAAATGTAAGACCTGGAACCATGAAACTCCTAGAAGAATTATCATATGGTTTCACTTACTTGTGGAAAACGAGGAATAGCATAGAGGACATTAGGAGAAGGAAAGGAAAAAGGAAGGGGGAGGGAAATCAGAGGGGGAGACAAACCATGAAAGACTGTGGACTCCAAGAAACAAACTGAGGGTTTTAGAAGGGGAGGGGGGTGGGGGGATGGGTTGGCCCGATGATGGGTATTAAGGAGGGCACGTATTGCATAGAGCACTGGGTGTTATATGTAAACAATGAATCTTGGAACACTACATCAAAAACTAGTGACATAATGTATGGTGACTAACGTAACATAATAAAAAAAAAAAAAAGAAAAAGAAAACATAGGAACAAAGCTCCTTGAAGTGGGTCTTGGTAATGATGTTTTGGACAGAGCACAAGCAACAAAATAAAAAAAGAAATAGGTGGGACTACATGAAACCAAAAAGCTTCTGCACAGGGGCACCTGGATGGCTCAGATGGTTGGGCATCTGCCTTCAGCTCAGGTCTTAATCTCCAGGCCCTGGAGCTATTTTTATTTTGTTTAGGTATATTCCTAAAAGTGAAATTACAGGATCATATTGTATTTCTACTTTGAATTTTTTAAAACTTGTATTGCTTTTTTTTTAAAAGATTTTATTTTTTTTTTTTTTTTTTTTTTTTAAGAAAGAGAGAGAGAGAGAGAGCATGGACCGGTGTGGGACAAAGAGCAGAGGTAGAGGGAGAAGCAGACTCTTGGCTGAGCAAGAATCCCAATGTGGGGCTCAATTCAGGACCCCATGACCATGACCAGAATTGAAGGCAATTACTTAACCGACTCAGCCACCCAGGTACTCCTATTTTTGATTTCTTGAGGATCATCTGCACTGTTTTTTGTAGTGGCTGCACCAATTTACATTTCCACCAACCACCACTGTAGGGTTCCTTTTTCTCCACATCCATTTTCAGCATTGGTTATCTCTTGTCTTTTTGAGTTTGGCCATTCTAACAGGTGTGAGGTGTTACCTCCTTGTGGGTTTAATTTCCATTTTCTTAATGACTAGTGACCTGGCTCCCTACCAATTCCAGCATAAACTCAACCCCAACCCATCATGTCATGAGAAAAAGCCACTGTGAGTTAGGACAGACCCATCTCCCCATCTCTTGGTAAGGACCATCCCATATCTCTGCACCTCGAAGAGGCCCCTGGTCATCATGCAAACCCAAAAGGCACACCAGCAGCCAGTGCTTTGGCAGACCACCCTCTTGTTACACAACGACCCCTTGTACCACTGGATGGAGAGGAGAAGCCCAGTCTCAGCTTCACATGGCACCAACGTCCCATCAGCTCCTTCAATCTCTGGACCTTCTTGTCTGTTGTCAATCCTCTGCCCTACGAGTCACAGTAGAGTGAACTTTGCAAAGAAGAAAGAATCCCAACTGAGGTACACATGGGATTGGTGATGGCTGTTCCATGTCCATGTCTTCAGAATAAGCTAACACACAGGAGGGAAGCAAGCCTGGGGGATTTGTACCCTGGTTCGGAACCCAGAAACTAAATGGAACCTTTGAAAGCCTCTGAGGTCACAGAGCCAACTTGTGTGGCCAGAGGAGAGCAGGGGTCCCATGGGGACTGCGGGTGCTTGGAGCTGCAGGCTGGGGGGTCCTAACACCACTGTGGTCACCACTGATGCCTGAGAGGATGGGCTGCTGGGGGCTCCACGCTGGACATGATCCATCCTGACCACAAGGAAGTGACATGTCACAGGGGTGAGGAAGTCTCACGGAGGAGGAAATGCTCTAGTGTTGCTCCATTGTGTGGGGCGAGTGTGGATAGTGAGAGGAGCAGATGTTTGTTTAAGGGGACGGCAATCCCAATCTAGACCTGGACCAGGAGCTGTCTTGTCATCGGGATTGAGCAGATTGGGTGCACCAGGTCCAGGACTCTGCCTCAGTTCGTGCTGCTTCTGTCTCCAAGCTTCCTGCACCCCAACCAGCTTGAGTCAGCGTGGAAGAAGATTGTGAGACCAAACACAGGCAGGACGAGGAAGCAAAGAGACCCCAGAAAGCAGAAGTGGGCCCTGCAGAGAGGACCCTCTGTGAGGAGGCTTGAAATTATCCCCCCTCACTAGCCTGGCATTGCTGTGGGTGACGTCTGTGCTGCAGACATGACCCCAGGGGATGGGAGGCCGTGGCTGCCTGCAGCGCTGCTCCTTCTGCAGGTCCCAGGTGAGCGGGGCCTGGCAGGGAAGTCTGTCCTGAGTGGGAGGGAGGGAGATGGGGGATGAGGGTGTGGGGCAGCCCAAGGGGAGGGAGGGAGGGAGGACATGGGAGGGAAGAGAGAGAGCAGAGATTCTCCTCAGATTGGCCAGCACTGCCTCAGCAGTGACCAAGGAGGATTCAGTGTATAAAGCAGGTGAGTCATGTCCAATATAGTGGACAGAGCAGCCCTGAATGGAGGGGCTCCTGTGACCACCATTACTGTAGTGTCATAGCCAGAAACAAGGTCTTGTTGCACCACACACACACACACACACACACACACACACACACACATATCAGGGACACACTCTCATTGTGCCACTCTGTGAGGAGGGAGTTACATCCCCTCTTTCTGATCTCAGGAAAGCCCTGACTTCTGCCAAGTCCTCCTCCTGACCCTGGGGGCCCTTGAGGGACTCAGGGGTCACCTTGACCTCAGATCCAGGCCCCTCTGGTGAGGGGTCACACTTGGCTGTATTTTCCAGGCTGTGTTTCCCAGATTCTGAGTAGTCCCATCTCCCTGGTGGGCACCGTGGGGCAATCCGTGAGTGTGATATGTCCATATGAGAAGATATATGAAAACAATTCCAAATACTGGTGCAAAAGCCCATGTTTGTGGAAGATTGTGGAGACCACAGTCCCAGACGTAGAAGTGTGGAATGGCCGTGTGTCTATCAGGGATGTTTCTGCAACCCTCTCCTTCAGCGTGACCATGAGGAACCTCAGAGAGGAGGATGCTGGGACATACCGGTGTGGGATTGATACATCAGAGGTTCCAGGATATATGTTTGACCTCACCTACCCAGTTGTGGTGTCTGTGACCCCAGGTGAGCTGTGCACACCCCTCCCCGACACCAGCACCAGGTGCCTGAGACTGGGGCGGATCACCCTGACTCTGTCAGGAAAGTGGTGGGACATAGGACAGAAGAGTGGGATGAGGATGGGGTGGGTAACACAGGACACCAGGGGTATGCCTGTGTGTGTGTGTGCACATGTGGTGTGTCTGTGTATTTGTCTGTGTGTGTCTAGGTGTGTGAGTGTGTGTGTGTGAGTTGTGTTGTCTGCACATTTGCACAACCACATGCACACCTCTGGCTGACCTGAGTGTCTCAGTGTGCACTTTCATGCCTAAAGCTCTCCCAGGGTGGGCGGTGGGAATGGCCCTGAGTCTGGGGACGGCTGTCTACCTTTCTGTCCTGACAAGGTCCTGCCCACATTGGAGGGGACCTGAGCCTCTTCCCGGATCTCTCTCTGTCTTCCCAAGGGGGAACGGGACCATAGGGCACTGGCTCCTCTCCCTTCCTGGCTGCCCAGGACCCCGGGGCTCTAATAGGACATCACCGTGTCCTGGATGGTTCCTGAACACCAGCCTCACAGCTGTGATCCTGGGGGTCTGCAGCAGCCTCGACAGGGGCCCAAGAAGGAGCCCCAGACCCTGAGGTGGGGCTTCTGTGAGCATTTAGGGAACACCCCTCCCCTCTGGCTTGACCCTCCCCATTCCTTCTGTCATCTTGTCCCCACCGGAGGGAACCCAGAGAAACTGCTGAAAGCTCCCCTCAGACAAAGGAGGGAAAAAATGAGAAACATGAGTTCTCAGGTTCTATGGCCCCAAATATACTTCCATGTGCTGCAAAGAATTCTTTACTAGAAACCTGTTTTTGTTTTTTGAGAAGCACATGGAAGTCATCCTTCTGAGTGTTCAGGTTTTTGTCTTGTGTTCTTACTCCGACATTGGCCCTGGCTCCTCTGATGTCCTTCCTGCAGGTCGTCTCTCTCACATGGGGCATTGCCCTCCCAGGCCCCTTGTGGGCTCCTATTTAACAGCGAGGAGAAGAGTGTCCTCAGACACCACCGCTGGGAAGAGAAAGACCATTGTCCACTTGGCTTCAGGACAGGGAACTTTCTGTGTGGTGCCCTGAGTGTGTGTCTGTCTCACTAGATCTTTCTTTCTGTCTATCCTTCCGTCCCGCGGCCACCCAGGTTCACAGTTCTGGCTTAGAGTTCGGGGGCTGAGTGCACTGAGTGCAGGATCCATCATTCAGTGGGGACTCTGCTGAGCGTCCTGTTTCATGGTCCTCACTGCAGACATCAGCCCTGCCTGAGGACCCGGCCCCACCCCCAGCTCTGGATCAATCTCTGCAGAGGAAAGCTCAGCCCATCCTCTGCCAGGGGAAACCAGGGGCGGGTGGCTGAGCCCAGAGCCCTGAGCTCCTTCCACACACTGTCCCATGCCCTGCTGGGAGATGCTCTGCCTCTGAAATCGCCCACCTGGCCAGGGTGCACCTGCAGAGGGGGCCGGGGAGGCCACAGTTCCAGGCAGGCCTGGGTGTGGCTGTGGGCAGATGTGGAGCCCAGACGCCTGTCCAGATGGCCTGAGTGACCAGGACTATATGAGTTGGAGCCACACAGCTGACAGAGAGTGGGAGAGCCCGGGGGAGGACAGCAGGCCTGACATGTGCTTCCCCCCACAGCCAGCACTGCAACCCTCACCTTTGTGAGCCCCCCCCCAGCACCCTTGATATGGTTTTGGAATATGGGTAAGGTTTGGTGGGGTGGGGTCCAGAGCTTACAACCAAGAAAGAATCCTTGAGACATCTTTGGTGCAAAATGGTGCTTTCGTTAAAGCTCAGGGACAGGACCCCAGGGCAAAAAGAGCTGCTGTCCGGCTTGTGAGGGACGGTTGATTGTGTGCAAAGGGGAGGTTTCAGAAGGCTTTTCATGTGATAAAGAAGACTCACAGGATACTGGAGGCCTTGCCATTGTCAGTGTTAGGGTTCTTTTTCCCTCTAGGAAGGCATTGCCATGAAGATAGCTGGGAAGTTCCTGGAGGAGTGTCACCTGTCCCACCCAGGAGTATGGGGGGTGGGGTTGTGGCGTGTCAGCTTTGGCTTGTCCTCAGCCTGCCTTCTCCTCCCTCATCAACAACAGGTCTTCACAAGGTCCTGCTAGACCCCACATTGAATACCGCAACCTCGGATGACTACTACACCTCCAGCCTACATTCTGGGTAAGGGGCTAGCAGTGGGAGACCTTTGACACCTGGGTGATTTCTGGGGAACACGGGGGGCTGAGGTGTGTGGGTGTGACTGTTGTGGCCTCGGTCCCACACTTACTTACCAATTCCACACCTCACTGTGGAAGTCCTACCAAGCGCCAGGCCCTCTTCTAGGGATACAGCCCTGGGCCACCGAGACACAGTCCGGCTCTGACAAAAGTTGGGAAATTCACACAGTGAAGAAGTCAACATGTTCATCAATAGACGAAATGCCAGTTCCTGATGAGTTCTTGGGGGAACTAGGACAGATGGGTGGGGGAGAGCATGTGCAGGAGAGCCACAGGGTGGCAGGGGCAAGGGGGGTGTGGATTGCTCTTCAATACACAATGATCAGGGAGTCCTGACCAGTGAGAGGACATTTCCCTGGAGACCTGTAGGACCAGGGAGCCGGCACTCAAGTATCTGCAGAAATTGGGCTCTGGGGACAGGGAGGACAAGTGCCAGTGTTGTGCAAAGGGGGCCTTCAGGTCCCGGCCCAGGCCAGGTGCTCTGGGGGCCCCTGGGTTCTCTTCTCTGCTTCCTCCTCCTCACCATGCCCTCGTTGTGTTGGGTCCCCCCAAAATTGGGTACCCCAATAATGGGTCCATGATTAAAGGAGTGAGACTGATACAAAGCGAAGGTCAAGCAAAGCTTTATTTCACGCCAAGCATCAGGAATCAAACTGGCTGGCCAGTGCCGCACCTCTTACAGAGAGGGCGACCCCTCCCTGCTTGTCAGACTAACGTTTTATAGAGCAAAGGCCATGTGGTTGGGCCTGGCCACACACAGGTGGCCAATGATATTGTAACACACAGAGGAAACGCCACAGTGATGCTAGGTGACCAACTGAATTACAATTTACCCTAGTAGACATTTGAACCAGCCTATCACCTAGTTCAGAATTGGCGCCCAAAAGGTTCCCAAAGGGTGGGGCCCATACTCCTCGGTAGCTAGGAGACAGTATGTGCCCCCACTGATTGAATACCTCCACCTGGCCTGACCCACCCTTGTATTTGGACTTTGTTATGTGGGACTGGTTTCCCGGACTTGCTTTCAAATAAGTTCCCCCGGGGCGGCGGCAGGGGTGCAAGGTCAATTTAAGTTTTACAACAAAATGGCAGTTCAACACGCGTGGGGCCGCTCTGGCTTAATAGGCCCTTACAGTTGAAGAGTCATCCTGTTGAAGACCAGGCCTCTAAGAGAGGTGAGAGGTGAGTGGGGTCATTGATTACCTCCAGCATTAACTACTGAGTTTTAAGGCTAAGGTTTGGAAGCTGCCAGATCCTCCCTGGGACTAAAGCAAATATTTCTGATACCAAATGGGAACTACTGTTTGTGGGAGAGCAGACATCAGACAAACAACCCCAGTTATTTGCTAGTCCACGGACAGGTAACTCCCAACGGGGAGGGTTTAGATAGAACTCTTTTCCTGACCCAGGTCCTGCCTGCTCCCTGGGGTCTCCCTCACATCGCTCCAATAGCCAGGCTCTCTCCAAGTCCATATCCTATCTCAAGGGCAATTGTTAGCCTGAGGGTCACAGAAGTGGTCTGTTGATGGGATGGTCCCAGCCATGGACCCACCTGGGCCTGATCTCTGTGTGGATTGTTGTGGCCCCAGAACATTGCCACAGGGACGAAGGAAAGTGGAGGGTACCAGGGCACCTCCTTGAGGACGTGCTCACCACCTGTCACCGTGTCCCCCACAGGTCCCTGCTCAGCTGCATCTACTTCCGGCTCCTGGTCTTCCTGGAGGTGCCCCTGGTCCTGAGCATGCTCAGTGCTGTCCTCTGAGGGAACAGGCCTCAGAGGGGATCTGGCGGGAGGCAGTATCTGCCCGATAATGAGTATTGGTAACACCAACTGCCTATTGACGACCTGCCCAGGAACATAGCCCATCTGATGGATGGGAATGGCCTTCTGACCAACACATCCAGCCACCGTCCTTATTTTATTCCGAATACTCTGTAAACTTTTTTGTAAATTTTCCTGCAAAGTATCATAGACACAACGAATGTTCCCAATAAATGCATACTCCTTGAGGCCCAAATACTCTTCAACCCTTGGATATATCGTGAATATTTCTGAAGTCCCTCTGAGGAAACCAACTATGAATTTTACAGTCATGTTCTCCTTATTTTCTTTATGGGTTTGCCACATATTTGCAAATTATTTACTCTAGGTCAGTTCATAAAAGGCACCAAAGTTAAAAAAAAATACTTTTATTTCCAAGGTCATTGGTCTTCTTATAATACTTCTTTCCCAAGTCATCACCCTTTTTATATAATACAATGGTCACTTATTGCACAAGCCTCCCTGTGAATGGTGTTTATGTATTCCAGGGCTGATGGGGTCCCTATGCCTCTGACAGGCCTGGGCATGGGAGAATGGGAGAAAAAAATCAAGACAACTTACAGGTTTGTTGTGCTACACTTGTGTTTGGACAGAATCAGAGCAAACTGGTGAGTTGTCTTGATTTTTAAAATTTATTAATTTTTATAATTTAATTTTTTAAAATTTATAATTAAATATTTTCCTTCCAGTGTTCAAAAACAAGAGAGAGGGAAACTGTGTTTATGAAATGCAGCAATTAGAATACAAAGTAATCTGATGTCAGAGCCAACCTTCAGAACCCAAGCAGGAAAGAATCTTTATTACCTTAATCCCATTTTCCCCACCTCTAGCTGTATTAATCAAGGTCCACCAAAACCCTTAAAAATATCACTCCCAAAACAGGACGCTAAAACTCAGAACATAAAGAAACTCTGGAAGATAAAGCTGACTGAACAGAAAAACACATCTTAGAACTTTAAACCTTGACTGACTTTTAAATAATAATGCTTTAGTGTGACTCCTGGATGGCTCATTCCATTGAACATCTGCCTTCAGCTCATGATCTCAGGGCCCTGCGGCCAATCCCCACATCAGCCTCCCTGCTTAGTGGGAATTCTGCTTCTCCCTCTCATTCTCTCTCTGACCCTCCCTCTGCTCACTCTCTCTCTCAAAATAATAATAACGTAATGCTTTAAAGAGGTGATTAAATAAAAAAAAATTTTTTTTAAATAAAGCTTCTTTAAAACACCAAGTTTTGGTGATCAGGAAGGTAAAGTAATTTTCTTATAAATTTGAGGATCTAAAAAGTAATTTGTTACATTTACTAAGACAAATCTGAGATGGCCCACATCAAGTACGTGTATCCTACAGGGTGACACTGGCGTCTCAGGCATGAAAAGACAGCCCCACTGCCCTTTAGGGTTGGGATCATCTAGATGAAAAAAAATTGTACTGACTCTCAACTAGACCATACTGATAAGTATCCTTTTGATTTATCGCTCTGGCATGGGGACGGTGAAGAGTTCAGGGAAGAAGTCTCATCCTTGAAGGCAGCCTCCAGCAACGCAAGCTTCTCTTTTCCTACTTTTTATCTCAATGATATCAAGGAGACTTTCTGTAATTAAGGAGAGTTATGATTCAATTGGTCTCTAAGCCTGAGCCTGAAAATGCACAGGAGCTGGTTGTCCAGTAGGAAGACTGATGGCAGACAAAGGGAAAACACACGAGCCCGGGTTCTAGACTGTGACCTTCCAGGAACAGAGATGCTGTGGACAAGTTGCCACAGCCCAGCAGGGGGGCCAGAAGAAACCTCAAGCTAAGCCAGCCTCCTGCTTCTAAAGGAGGTAAATCAGTCCAGCCAGTTACTTGCTCTTATGCTTATAGGCAGGGGACCGAGGTCCCTTTATAATTATTATTTTTTTTAAGATTATTAAAGGCAGCATCTTTACAAGTCAGAGCTATAGGAAGCATCAGCAGCTTGATGGTTACAGGGCAAGCACGGTCCCTTGGGATCAACAGGCCTCAGTGGGCAATTTGTGGGACATGGAGTCGACCTGAGGAAGACAACCTGGAGCCCTCTTTGCCCATCGATATCCTGTCCAGACACACTGCCACTCAGACTAGAGGAAGAAGAACTTCTGGCCCCAGACTTGTCTCTTCTCACCTTATTGCCAAAAACTGGTAAAAATACATACATACATACATACATACATACATACATACATAAATGGATGCAGTGAACCATCTCTCACACACAGACACACAGACACACAGACACACACACACACACACACGTAATATGTGCTGGGGAGCATGGGGGAATAACTCCATAGGACTCTTAACTTGCAAGTAGAGAGTGCCAAGGACAGCCTGGTTGGCCAAGGGAGTCCAAGGTGTGAGTATGCTTTTTGGTGGCCTTGCCCTCGTGAGAACCCCCAGTGTAGCCTTTCAATTCAACTATCTTTCCTTTCTCTATTCATTCACCAAATATTCACCAAGAGCCTCTGGAGCACCAGGCTTGTTTCTAGGTGCTGGGGATACAGCTGTCAGCAAAACACGGGCCATCTATTCTAATGGGTAGTTTCAAAAAATAAATTAAAAACATTAGTTTATGAGAAATGTCATGAAGAAGAATGGATGAGAGTTCAGAGGATGGGGTGACAGAGGACAGGAACAGCCTCTTGGGTGAGAGCCTCAGGCAGGTGAGGGAGGGAAGATGAAAACTCTGAACAAAGGCAAAGCTCAGGGCAGAGAGGGTCCTGAGAAGTCAGTCGGGCAGGATTCTGGGGGTTCAGGTAGATGTGGATAGATAGGGCAGGCAAAAGAATCCAGCAAAGAATTATGCACCCTGATGGAGTGAGGTTTGTTCCAGGTAGGTAAGACTGGTTCAACTTTGAAAATGAATCACTGTAACCCACCACAGCAAACTAAGGAAGAAAAATCATAGGATCATATCAGATGACACCAAAAAAGCATATACCAAACTGTAGTACCCACTCATGATCAAAAAGAAACTCATAAAAATAAGAGTAGAAGGAATTTCCTCAACTTGATGAAGATCATCTAAAAGAAAAATACAGCTAACATTATAGTTAGTGATCAAAAACTAAATGCTTTCCCTGTATGATACTGAGCAAGGCAGACATGCCCACTCTCACCATAAAGTCATCTTAGCCATGGCAATTCTGGCCATTGCCGTAAGTCAGATAAACAAATAAGGGCTAGAGAATGGAGAAGAAGAATAAAGCTGACCCTGTTTGCAGATGACATAATTGTCTATGTAGAAAATCTCAAACAATCTACAAAACCTCATAGAACTAAGAGGTGAACTAAGAGAACTAAGAGGTGGGCTAGAGTCAGAGGTGTCCTGTCTTTCTGCCTGGTTCTATACCCTCCCCTGGGCACAGGTGGTGAGGGTCCTGACTTATTCTTGTCTGAACTACCCTTTGGGCTCTGGACCTGAGTTCATCAGGTCATGGGATACAAGATGAAGAAAAAACAGTCAATCACATGTCCATATACTAACAAGTGAACATATGGAAACCTAAATTAAAACTGCATTCCATTGGGTGCCTGGGTTGCTCAGTGGGTTAAAGCCTCTGCCTTCAACTCAGGTCATGATCTCAGGGTCCTGGGATGGAGCCCCACATTGGGCTCTCTGCTCAGCAGGGAGTCTGCTTCCTTCCCTCTCTCTCTCTGCCTGCCCCTCTGCCTACTTGTGATCTCTGTCAAGTAAATAAATAAAATCTTTTCTAAAAATACATTCCATTCCATTGCATTCCTAGAGACATATAAACTACCACAACTGAATCAGGAAGAAATAGAAAACCTGAACAGAACCATAACCAGTAAGGAGATTGAAACAGTCATCAAAAATCTCCAAACAAAACCCCAGGGCCAGACGGCTTCCCAGGGGGAATTCTACCCAACATTTAAAGAAGAACTAATTCCTATTCTCCTGAAACTGTTCCAAAAAATAGAAATGGAAGGAAAACTTCCAAATTCATTTTATGAAGCCAGCATCACCTTGATCCCAAAACCAGACAAGGATCCCATCAAAAAAGAGAATTACAGACCATATCCTTGATGAACACAGATGCGAAAATTCTCACCAAAATACTAGCCAATAGGATTCAACAGTACATTAAAAGGATTATTCACCACGACCAAGTGGGATTTATTCTAGCGTTGCAAGGTTGGTTCAACATCCGCAAATCAATCAATGTGATACAACACATTAATAAAAGAAAGAACAAGAACCATATGATACTCTCAATAGATGCTGAAAAAGCATTTGACAAAGTGCAGCATCCCTTCCTGATCAAAACTCTTCAAAGTCTAGGGATAGAGGGCACATATCTCAATATTATCAAAACCATCTATGAAAAACCCACCGCAAATATCATTCTCAATGGAGAAAAACGGAAAGCTTTTCTGCTAAGGTCAGGAACATGGCAGGGATGTCCATTTATCACCACTGCTATTCAACATAGTACTAGAAGTCCTAGCCTCAGCAATCAGACAACAAAAGGAAATTAAAGGCATCCAAATCAGCAAAGAAGAAGTCAAACTATCACTCTTCGCAGATGATATGGTACTATATGTGGAAAACCCAAAAGACTCCACTCCAAATCTGCTAGAACTTGCACAGGAATTTAGTAAAGTGTCAGGATATAAAATCAATGCACAGAAATCAGTTGCATTTCTCTACACCAACAACAAGACAGAAGAAAGAGAAATTGAGTCAATCCCATTTACAATTGCACCCAAAACCATAAGGTACCTAGGAATAAACCTAACCAAAGAGGCAAATAATTTATACTCAGAAAACTATAAAGTACTCATGGGAGAAATTGAGGAAGACACAAAGAAATGGAAAAATGTTCCATGCTCCTGGATTGGAAGAACAAATATTGTGAAAATGTCTATGCTACCTAAGGCAATCTACACATTTAATGCAATCCCTATCAAAATCCCACCCATTTTTTTTCAAAGAAATGAAACAAATAATCCTAAAATTTATATGGAACCAGAAAAGACCTCGAATAGCCAAAGGAATATTGAAAAAGAAAGCCAAAGTTGGTGGCATCACAATTCCGGACTTCAAGCTCTATTACAAAGCTGTCATCATCAAGACAGCATGGTACTGGCACAAAAACAGACACATAGATCAATGGAACAGAATAGAGAGCCCAGAAATAGACCCTCAACTCTATGGTCAACTAATCTTCTACAAAGCAGGAAAGAATGTCCAATGGAAAAAAGACAGCCTCTTCAATAAATGGTGTTGGGAAAATTGGACAGCCACATGCAGAAGAATGAATGTGGGCCATTTACTTACACCACACACGAAAATAGACTCAAAATGGATGAAGGACCTCAAT